TAATTAATAAATTTTTAAAAATAATTGAAGTTTCCAAAATTACAAAAAAAAATTTATAATAAAACTTAAATTATATATCAAAATTATATACATAAAATACACTAAATTAAAATTATATGGTTAGAAAAGAAATATATGAAAAAGATTTTAATAGGATATAAAAAATTTGAGAAAACGTGAATAAAATACATGTATTTTAAGTAAATATTAATTTTTGTATTCATTTTTAAAATTATATCTTTATTAAAATAGTTGACTACTACGGAATCCTTTCCATTTTATGTCAGTTAATACAAGTTAATACAAAGTTGAAGGAAAATTAAATCTCTCGGTTGAATTATTATAATAAAGAAATAATAGTATTAGGTTATACCTGCGATCCCTAGTGGATGCACTTAGGGCTATTTGTCCATTGTGTTAGAATAATTGTTTTACCTAATTACAAAATAAAAAGCCGCTTTGGCAAGATTCCTATAATAATTTTATTATTATTATTATTATACTATATTTTTTATTATATTATTATTATATTTTATTATATATTATAATTATATTAATTTGAATTATTTTTCTACTATAATTTGATAGTATAGATACCAGCTTATAATATTTTTTTTAACAAAAATTATTTATTTACCTATCATTTTCCACAGAAAAATATCAAAATATAATTGTTATCTATTTAAATCATGTTCAATAAATAATCCAATATCTTCAATTAAACCTTATCAAACCAACTGAGCCTAAACATTTATATAAAAAAAACATTGTAAAACAATTTTATGTTTATTATGTATATGTATAATTTTATCACAAGATAATATCAGTTGTTAAAAGAGGTAAAAAGCTAAATTAATTTATTTTCTCCAGTGATAGTACAGTAGATCTTATGAGTTTAATAACCAAAGCAATACCAATAGGTGATCTAAATCTAACAGAATAAAAGCAATAATTAAAGTTGTTATAAACTTTCACTCTATCGGAGAGAACTCTCTTTACTTTAAATATGTTATATTCATATTTATATTCAAATTTTAGGCAAATTCTTTAATTTTAAAATAATGTTAAAATAATAGTTTTTTTATATATATTTTCAAACAAAATTCAAACCATTTATTTATCTTATTTTTTTTAATTTTACATTAAATATCACAGATTTTTCTCGCTGATTTTATTTTTTTTTTTGAAAGTAAAAAAATAAAAGAAAATAATACTTAAATACAAAAATAAATAAATTAGTGATATTGCATATATATTAATTATAACATACAATAAAAAAGTATTCCACAGAATACATGTAAATTCGAAAATATTAATGATAAATGATTTATTAATAAAATATTTAATTTAATTTGGTTGCATATACATAAGAATGAAAAAAATGTATCATTAAAAAAGTGGTATAGAAATATAATAGTATCATTATCAAAGAAGGGGCGAATTTTTTTTTTAAAAAATTTATTTTTACTAGCTACCCCAACTTAATAGCATCAGAATGCCTAATATGAGAATAGTGTATTACTGTATTTATTGAAGTGTTTATAATTATTTATTTGTTGAAATTAGAAAATTAATATATTTTTTTAACAATACATTTAATTAAGTAGCAATAAAGAAAATTTTATATATATAAAAATAAAAATCACTTTTAAACTTATAAATTATTGTAATGCAACTTTTCAATATCCTTGAGTTTTCTCTGAAGTTTAGAATTTAATCAATTAAATTTTTTTAAATAAAAACTACACAACCACACCCACTAATATACGTATCAACATCTGCCTCAATACAGTTGTGTCCATTGCGTAAGCATATTGAAATAATTCAATGGCAGTGCTGCTAGAATTATGCAACATAATATCATTTTGTAACTTTGATTAATGGATTGTGAAGCCTTTTATATAACAATAGGTTTCTCATTACACCCCTTTAATGCACACGTAATTATAGCTAATCATGGCACAAAACACAATAATATGACAATTTTGTAAATAGTAATTTTAGTAGCATGATTTCGAAAATATTATGTGCGCCATGTGGTTAAGCTGAGCCATCATCATCATCACCATTACCAATATCATCGTTATTGTTATGCTAATTAATTAACGTCAAAATGAAACCTTATTCATTTATTTATAAAATTAATGAGAATGGATTTAAGAATCGAAAATAAGGTACTAGATAAATAGCGAAGCAAAAAAGCCAGAAACAAAATTGTTGAAACGAACAACTACAGAATTCATTTACAAAAATTAATCGGATTATTTTATGCAAATTTGAAGAACGTTTATTAGCATCAAATTAATGGAAAAACTACTAATACCTTTTGTAAAGCTAATTAATGAGAAACAATAACTATGCAGAGTTTAACATAATTATCATAGAAACAATCAATAACAATTTCCGTAAATCTGTAAACAATATTTGTATATATTTATATCTAAGTATTTTTAACTTATTTATTATCATTTTTAATAATTAGACATTAATTGTGGATTCTCTTTGAAAAAATTGAATTTTCTTATATATTCTTATATGAACATCTAAGAATTAACATTGTCAGAATATGGTATAACATTAACAGAATATTCTTAAAAAATAAAATGAACAAATTAAATTACTTACAATGGCACACAACGCTACTATTTCCCATTTTTTGGCTTTAGGAGTAGTGCAAAAATCTCAACACACTAGATAAAATTATTAAAATTAAATTAAAGTTCTTGTTGGTAACACACTTACACTGTCTCATTTAAACGATTTTGTTAATTATAGCCACAGGAGAATAATTTACCATACAAAGAGCTTTCATACAAATGAGCACATTATCCATAAATCAGCTCATTTTGAATGGCAACATAGGTGGGACCATTCCCAAAAATCAAGATGGACGCATTCGTTAATTCCAAATATAAAAGTTTGGTTTAACCGAGGATCTGGAGACTTGGGATTTCAATTAACACAGTTTCTTACGGGGCATGGCTGCTTCCGTGAATACTTATACCGGTTTAGGCTAGCAAGTAACCCGTACTGCCAGTCCTGTCCAGATAAAATTGAGAGTCCTGACCACATAATTAGAGACTGTATAAGATTCGTAGATACTAGACAAAATCTAGAGACACTAATTGGGGAATCCAGCCCTTCTACTATGGTAATGCAGATGTTGGCAAGCATCGAAGAATGGAGCTTCTACAAGAGCATAATCTCTAGAACAATAAATACTGTTAGAGCGGACGAAATACTTAGTACACAATCGGAGTGAATGCACGCTAAGTTCTCTTCTAACCTGCCCTGTGAAGGAATACCTTAACTGGTCGTACTGCAGGGATTTTCAGGATTTTGAGTTGAGAATGTAGGGGACTTTTTAGTCCGTAGGCATGTATGACTCAATTTGAGTCGTGCATGAATCGGGCATGCAAATGGTATGGGCCATTTGTATCTTTTGAAGATTTTTCCCCCAGGTCCGATACCAACAAAAAAAAAAAAAAAAAAAACGCTCATTTAAGATAACAAATGTCGAATGCAATCCTTTAAAAGTAAATTTTCCAAAATTTGAAATATGCGATGACATGTGTTTTATATGTAAAATGTAAACAAACAACAGCTGAGCTGTAAATAAAGACACTGAAGAAGTAAATATTTAATAAAATCTTTGTTTTTATTAATTTAATACTTAATTCATATATTAATTGTATATAAATGATTTAATATATCACTTATATATATAATACTTTTGTGTGATATATTATTATATAAAGTTCACAAAAGTTTATAAAAGTACTATCAGCTAAACATTATAAGATGAACGTTCACTCATGAATATAAATATACAAGTGCCTAATACTATGTTCAGACAAACCTTTATATTACAAAAATTTTATTTTCGTCTTCGTTTCAGCGAAATTAAGTGTTTTTTCCATACAAAATTCAGTTGTAAGGTTAGATAAATTTTAAGTAAAAGATAAAGTTAAGATGACGAAAAACTGACATTTTTTTTTAAAAACAGCTGACTTTAATAAAACCGGGAAAGAGGTGCAAATTTTTAAATTTGAATGTACAGAAAAAACTAATTGTAACTGAACTATGTAATTCAAAACAGAGTAAAAAATAATAGTCCACCTACCTGAAATCCACAAAAACTTAAAAAACTACTAATTACCATCCTTTATAGTTATAATAAACAACTTTTAAAATTTCGCAGATACAAATGCTGCTTTGAGCATGAAATTTTTAACATTCGATTTGTAAACAAGAAACATATGATTTCCTTAAATTGGGGCAGTATGAACACTTTCCAAATTAACTTACTTTCATATTAATAAAATTAAGGAAATTTGACTGGCTAAACATAGTATAAATCCGACTAATTTCATAAAATATTTTTTATATTCGCAATTAAATACAAATAAACAACATACTCGTGGCTACCTTAAATTTTAATTTCACCATGTTAGGTGAAATAGCAAGAATCACGCTGTATAAATGACGCTATGGGAATATTAAGAAACCAAGACTAGAAAAATTAAAAATATTTCTTTGGTTTTAAAGAAACGTTATACATACATTCCCCTCTTTAACAGTTAAGAGTACTGTTAATATTTCTAAACCTTTGCATTTAACCTAATTTATAAAGCTATATTGAATTCCTTAAATAAACTTTAATTGGAAAACTGAATTTATTTTAATACCTAAATAGGTTAAAAAATTATAATGATTTAAAAACAATTTTTTTTTTTGTGGACAACTCATAAAGTTTTTAAATATTTTTTTGTTCATTGTTCGAATATCAATGCATATTTTCTTGGAAACATTTTTTGCACAAGAATTTCCCCTTCTATTACTCAAGATTTAGTAAAACCTATATTTACTGCTTTTAACAATCATTTGTTAATAATAACTTTGGTCAAAAATTTTAAATTTGAAACCCTATGTTTGAAAACTTTTAATTATTTTCACAAAAAATTTAAAAATTTCAAGTTACAATTGAAAAATAACTGTGTTTGGTTGAATGTGTTTTTCTTTTGTACAGTGCAACGAACCTCACCACAGCTACAAGAGACAAGTGTGGTGACTTTTAATATAAACTGTCAAGAACGTGTAATTTAAAGCAATTACATTTTCCTTGCATTCTCCTTCACTGCATTTTTACTTACGCTGCGTGGTGAACGTTTTGTGCTTCTTTTCGTTTTATTTGGTTATTTAAACGTTAAAAGTGATCGTAAACTTTTTTATTAACTGAATTTTGTTTTATCTTAATTGAAATTAATTTATAAAGAAAGTAAGAAATTAATTTATACATTCAAGGTGTACAATTTCATAATGTCTGAAATATTTGAACAGTTATTAACATTACTCTATGTAAGCATAAAATGAATATTTATAAAAACGCAAATAGTAATTATGAAAATTTTAAGGAACTGTATCTTAAATCATACATAATTAAAATATATATCGTTTTCTTTCCATTTTCACGCAGGGTGCTTCCTCAAGTTTGGTCGTTAAGTTTGCGGACACTGAAAAAGAACGACAAATTCGTCGCATGCAACAAATGGCGGGTCACATGAATTTACTTAATCCTTTTGTTTTTAATCAATTTGGTCCATATGGAGCTTATGCACAGGTAAGTCCGTGTACACACATATGTCCGTATATAAATCAAAACCAAGCACAAAATTAAAACAATGCCATTAATTGATTTCATGTGTTCTTTTGGAAATAAAAGAATATCACGGCAAAGGAGCAAAACAAGTGTAATAAAAACATGTAGAAGAGAAAATTGTAATAAAATGAAAAAGTTCATCATAAAATTGCATTTAAAAACAATGTTTTTACAATGTGCATGGACTAACATAAATAAAACATTTTATTGCCACCAAACACCAACCTACACCCGAACACCCGAACGAACACAGTTGACGACCGACCAGCACACGTTTACTTAAGTTCCATTGTCTATAATTTCATTTATTTGTTGTTTTTGTTTTTTATTACACTATATAAAAATATATACCTATCTGAATGGAGTTTTGTGTCTTTTATTGCAGCAACAACAAGCCGCTTTGATGGCAGCCGCTGCCACTGCACCGGGGTCATTTATAAATCCAATGGCTGCTCTGGCAACGCAAATACCTCACGGCTTAAATGGTACCGGGCAGCCATCATTGCCATCACCAACAATGCCCAACTTTAATATGGGAGCCCAAACGCCAAATGGACAACCACCATCTGCAGCCGCAGTCGCAGCTGCTGCCGCCGCTGCTGATGGTGTCTTCTCGAATGGCATTCCGCAGACAGCATTCCCAGGACGTAAGTAACAAACATATAAACAAATATATATACAAATAATAATAACACAAAGGAATGCATGCAATCTTTAAACATCTTTTTTTAGTTGATTTACAACTACAATAAAATCGATTGTATTATTATTTTTATATTGCTTTGCACGAAGCTTTGTGTTTGTTACCAGATTTTAATTTGTTTAACAATTCATTCTTAATATAGATTTCTCACTCACAGATCCACTGCACCTAACAATTCCTCCGCAAGGTCTGCCAAGCAGTGAAGCTGCCGCCTTGCAACACGCCTTCGCTGGAATGCCACCGTTTCCAGGAGTTGGTAAGTAAACCAGCGTTTAAAGCGTTTATTATTTTTTATTTCTTAACTTTAATTTCAATTAAATTATTATGAGCAATTATTTGAGTTCGAAAGCATATCTTAAGGCACAATACAGAAATCTTTATTCAACTTAGTCATGCTATCCATAAGTTCATAAACATAATTAATTAAACTTTAAATTTTTTTCTCTTAATTTATTATTTTTTTTTTATTTAACAAAACATTTCATATTTTCAAGTACTTGTGTGTCATGCCATAAATATGTATTGTTAGTATTATATATTGAAAATAATATATATTTTGTTATATGTCAATTATACGAAATTGAAATAAAAATGAAGTTAAGATCAATCTGCACGGTTCAAAGAATTAACTAAGATGCGAGTTACCTCCCACTTTACCTTAAACTGTGAACGCTACTTTTTAACTTCATTTTTATGTAAAAATGGATATTTTATGTTTTTTACAATTGCAAAAAGTTGTTGTTGAGTGTATTTAACAATAAATAATATTTACCAAGTACAATCATTTATTGTGTATATCAAAATTTTAAGTGTTTTCAATGGAGTGATTAAAATAATTTTTTTAATTATGTTTTAAATGTGTAATAAATCTTATTATTTAATACGACGTACTGTTTTTATATTTTAATTGAGTGAATTTTATTTAAAAACTACTAACTTTAATTTTAACAAAATTCATATAAAATATTTATGCGTATAAACAAATAATTAGATAGTATTTTGAAACAAAAAAATGTCTATAAAATACTCTCTATGTTCATTCCTACTTAATGAGGCATATATATAATTCTCTATACTTAGTTTTAATATTATGAAACCTAATTATCATAGCTTTGAATGCTTGGACAGCTGATACCAGCCAGCTATTATGAGTTACTTATTAAGTATGGTTTCTAACATAAAATAGAAATTAATCGAAATTTAAAAACACATTGATGTAACCACTGCCTTCAGATCTTACTACTTATATTCGATAAAAGTCAATTTATTAAAAAATAAATCATAACAATTGTGTGAATTAAATTATAATTATTCAGTATATATAGAATATTCAGTATCGCTTTAAGTAGAAATATTTGTTAGTGTATAGTTCGTATATAAATTTTCATCTGCAAGTATCAGGTATTCATTCATATTTTAATAAAAAGTTTTTATTCAAAAATTATTATTGTCCTACGACCCAAATCTTAATTTGGTCATATATTAAAAAATTATTTACCTCTAATAATTATAACATAAGTAATAACATAATAGTAACATAGCTTAAGCAAGTAAGATCGTTGAGATCAGATGTTCACGGTCTACCTATACGATCTTACGATGTATATCAGGTGGATAGATACTACAAGTACTTTTATAAAAAGAAATTTCTTATTACTCTTATGTATAAGTACGTCAAAAGTTTGAAGAATGATTTTAAGGGCTTTATTCTATTAATTTTTATAATAACCCATAATAAATGACATATAGAATAACAATTAGTCGTATTATTAATATTTTATCTCGCAAGAATTTGAATTTGTCAGAGCAACACACAACTTTTTAATTAAAGGATATATCAAAAATCTTAATTAGTAAATTTCTATCAAATGTGGATCGTATTACCCAATTTTCAACAAATCATTAACATTGGAGTAGTTATGACTATTGTGAGTAATCCTAAAATCTCGAATATACGTCTATTATATTCTCTATTATTAATTATATTATTAATGAACATACGATATGAATATTTAATTCACACAAAATCTAATCATTTATAATTAATATTTTATTTAAAAAAATTTCGTAGCATAAATAAGGTCGGATATATATTTTTCTTTATATAACAAAATAATATTTTTAAAATTCATTCAATATTGAACCAACGTATAAAAACAGTACAATATTAAATAATAATATAATTGTTTTATGTTATATATCGTGTAGAGTTATTTTTTAATTAAATTTTTATTTAAACTCAGCTGTTAATTGTTATTAATTAAATTTTATTATATAACAAAAAATTTGTACTTAAAATAATTTTAATAAAAATATATATACGTATACAAAATATTAATATTAATATATATATTATATATATATATGTAAACGTTGTTGTATTTTAAATGTTTTGATTATGTGTAAAACCAAATTATTTATAATGCAGCCTTCCCCGCCGTCTATGGACAATTTCCTCAAGCTTTACCAACACCAATCGCGGCGGTTGCTCCGACTCAACGTGAAGGTAAGAATACTTACAAGGATAAATGTTATGTTTTGTTTGTCATCATATAACTTTTTGTTATACTTATATGTTAATTATGTAAACATTATATATAGTACTGCTTTGATTTTACTTCTTTTGATTTTATATATATTGCTTTTAGAAAATTAATTAAAAATTAAAAGTTCACTTTAAAATTTTTGTGCTATCGTAAAATATATAATTAAAAAAGGATCTTCCCTCTACTTCCCTAGTAAAGATATTTACCTCAAAATTTCTTCTTTTAAAGATATAAATTTTATATTGAAATAATTTTAATGTGAAATTATTTTTGTGTAGAAATTTGTAAAAAAAATAAATTTATTTAAATAAATAAATGTTTTTGTAATTTAACTGAAAAACACATTTATATTTATTAATAATAAATTTTATAATTTTAGTATAAAATAAACAATTAAAAAAAAAACAAAATCAAATGGTTTTGTCAAAAATAAACATCTCTTTGCTATACATTTATCTATATAAAATAAATTAAAAAACTTTTAAAAATATAAAATTATAACATTAATAAATAATTAATAATAATATATATTTTTTATGTGCTAAAATAAATTAAAAAGTTTTATTTGAATTTTACAAGTTTTTACTCAAAAATATTTTGCAAAAATAATTTCAATAAAAAAAAACAGATCAAGTGTATGTGTATATATATAATATACCCGCATTTTGCTCTGTTTACACCTACACATATATAATTTTTATTTTTATTATATACTATTGGAATCAAATATAACATTTAAATATCTATTTATGTATTCTATAATGTTGTTTTTGTGTAATTATAATAGATTGTTTAATAATTTCGTAGCATTATATGTATATGTTTATATGTATATGTTCTCTGTTTTCTGTTTTACTTTTCGATTGTTAAACATATATAATTGCATGATTCTGACGTATAAATATAAATAATAATTGTTATTATTATTAATATATGTGTACAATATATTTATTATTTAATAATTATAACAGTTTATGAATTTATATACAAATAAATACATATATTAATATATATAAATAAACTTTTAGGATAGAGATATTTTTATTTTTTTTAATATTTAAAAAAAAATGAACTTTATATGAATATGTTTAAAATAAGTTTCTAAAAATTATGGACATGTTAACGAAACTTAAAAAGTAGGAAAAAAAAGAAGTAAAAAGTACAAACTTAATAAGTAGGATGTCGATACTTTCTTCACAGTGTACAAGACTTACCACAGAATTCCTACTTATAAGATAGTATCGGTATTTAAAGGCATGAAAAATAAACTGTTTTTCGCAAACAGATACAATCCAAACAGTGCATTCAGGTCAATAAACGATATGCCTAAAAATGTCTCACTTCAAATTGATATGAATTCAAATCATATCTTGATTAAAGAAGTTCGTGTTAACTATCTTCTCTTATAGCTGACATCAGACGCATGAAGATTTTGTGAAGTATATAGCGACCGTCCACTCTTCTTATCAATTGCTCTTCTCGTTTTTTACGATATTTACTTCATCTGACTTCCATTGAACCTAAAGAGATCTGACAACTGAAAATAAATTATAGGATAAGGTTTATTCAGAACTTTTTATCTTCATCTGTATTAGAACTGACATGTTTTGCTAGTAATAGCACAATATATCTCTTATCTCACAATGGACAATTAGAACCTACTAATGATACCACTCTCTGATACTCAGAACAACCTGTATGTTACAAAACAACAATAATAATAAATATGACGAGTTTTTACTATAAATAAACGAAAAATAAAGAATATTTAGAACTCTACGTAACATATTCTGGACCTAGTGTCGCAGAAATATATAATGTTAGCCAAAACTACTACAACTTGATGAACATTGCAATGAACGAAATGGCCTATGAAAGTTTTGAGAGAAAAACAAAATGTTATTTTCAAAAATAAAATAATATAAATAATCTAACGAATACGAAGAAATCTTATAAGAAACCTATTACTACTGCAACAAAGTACTGACCTTTAAAAAAAATCAATGGAAGTTTCCATTCATTCGCAAAATAAAGGAAATGTAGTAATTGAATTAGAAAAAAATAATTTTTAGTGCCATATAATTCTGCATAATAATATTTAATCCAAAACTTTGTTCAGAAACAGCATGATGTTTCTGTTTTTGCAAACATTATATACCATAATGTAAAAATAGACAACGACTTCATTTGTTTTTAAACTTAATCGTGATCAGTGTTGGAAGTAACAAATTATGGATGCCTAATTACCTGAACTTATGAGATCTTGTTATCTACAAAGAACAGAACAATGAAGAGATAATAAATTAATAGAGTTTTGGCTGTCAATTTGAATACTTTTTTCTGGTTACTTTAGAACTTACTACAACTTGAGATATAAGTTACAGTGTAATATTAACAGCGAAAGCTCAGAACCCACTCATTATAATTCTTCATCATCTATACCTATGGTGTTGTTCTATCCCCATATAAATTCTGGCACAATATACCTCAAACTGTACTAAAATTTATCAATTTACCATAGTCTTATAAAACAAGACTAGACTCAATAGATCGATTTATATCAAGATGCATCTTAACCTTTAATAATAGTAGAATTATTGATCAACATTTTTTTAGTTTTTATATAGTTTATATTACATTTTTATCAGAAAACAACTGATGTAATTGCACTTCTTATATATATAACAATATCTAACACACTAAGTATATATAAAGTATAGTATAGCATGTACTTTAATTGAGAAAACAATTTAGTAAGAATAAAGTGCCAAAAATTTAAAAATGCTTAATTATATCTTTATTTTGATTTAATTTATTTATGTTGTTATTCTATATGTATATCTGAATTATTGAAATAATATTATGTGTAAGTAGATAATTAAATTAGTGTGTATATGTTTATTCCTTGATGCCTTATATATCATTATGCTTAGCACAATTGTTATATCGCAATATTATAACACGAATCCATAACAAAAATTATTTGTTCAATAATTATTTTAAATTATTTTTATTTCACTTATGAATATTTTAACTATATTTTTATTAATTTTTATATTATATAATTATATATAAAAAAATTATTTTATAATACTTATATTAAAATGCACCTCTATAACAATCTGAAAGTTATATTTAATTTTAATATTGAGCATAAGCAGTTTATTTATATTGTTTGTTAAAACTATTTATTTTTGATCATTTATTTATATTTTTAAACTTTAGTATTATTTATATATATCTATATTATTTTATTATTATTTTAAAGTTATACAATTTTAAAAAGCATCTCACAGTCACATTCATGAAATTACTCTTTTGATTTTCTCATCGTTTATTTGTTTTTCTTTTCTTGCAATGTCTTCTTTTAAGATTTTCTGATGTTCCCAGGATGTTCAATTTCGGGACCAGAGGGCTGTAACCTATTTATTTATCATTTGCCGCAAGAATTTGGTGATGCAGAATTAATGCAGATGTTCATGCCTTTTGGTAATGTGATCAGTTCGAAGGTGTTTATAGATCGTGCAACAAATCAAAGCAAATGTTTTGGTAATTATAAATCGAATAATATATATTATAGTATATATGTAATACTTTTTATAAATTCATTTTGAAATAATTCAAATTTTAGGTTTTGTGTCCTTTGATAATCCTGCCAGCGCTCAAGCAGCCATTCAAGCTATGAATGGCTTTCAAATTGGTATGAAAAGACTGAAGGTTCAATTGAAGCGGCCAAAGGATGCTAGTCGGCCCTATTAACAATCGGAGTTCCTCAAAGCGCTACATATATTACATAGCAATACCAATTATATAGCCAGCAGCTGTTATAATAGATATAATCATATGAACCATAGCAAAACCACAACAACTACGACAACTATTACGAAAACAGCCACAATAAGAGAACATAAATTAATATACAATTTTAAATGAAATCATCCAAAGAACAACAAAACAAACTATTAATAATTTTTTTAAAAAAAAATCTTATTAAGCAAGCCCCATGTCAACATATTAGTTTTAATAGGTGAGATTAATTGAATTTAGATTTTTGTTTTTAAATTAAGAACATATCGAATTCAAGTGATTTTAAGTACGCTATTACTAGATATAGTAATATCTTTGATACTGAAATATTCAATACCTTATCGTTTACAAAACGTTTTTTTAATTTTAGTATTTTTGAAGATCAACTATTTTTATTTAGAAAAAATATTTCGTATTTTAAAATATACTTTTTGAATGGAAATTAATTAATTTGATAATCAATAAGTTATAAATGATATCAATTAACCTTTGTATGTGCTGTGTTTTACTAGTTTTAATTAAAGATATTTACAAAAAAATAATTTTTTTTTTATTTCGAATTTTTATTAAATTATTATTTATTATTAATTATTATTATTAATTAATATTATTATTTAATTATTAATTTGAATTATATTTTAAATTTATTTTTATAAATCAAATTGTATATATTTCATTATCATAACATTAATTCTTATGCAGATTTGTAGTACTTATGTCAGATGTCAATACTTTTGCTAATCTAAACAGTTTTTGATACTTTATTACTAAAACATCTTCCAGATTTCAAAATTGTAAAGCTAATTTTTTTGTAAATTTTCAAAAGTCTTCTAAACAAACAGTTATATTTTTTTCATATACTTTGTTGACTGTAAAATTTTATGCGAATTCGGACCAGACCCTATAAATCTAAAATAAATTTGTAGGATCAAAAAACTGTATCAATTGACAATTATCTGATACCACTAAACCTATTTACAGAATTTATATGAATTTTGAATAAATTTTTTAAAAAATGACTTACATCTAATGTCATAAATATTTCTTTACCCGAGTTCTATTTCTATTATTTTAAATTACTTTTTAATATACTCTATGGAAATTTAATAGGTCAGAAATTTAGTAGTAAGAAGATACTTAATTTTATAAATAGATGTAATATAAAACAACGTCTGAAAGAACACATTTGACAGAAAATCGTGAAAACCTGGCGTATTAGGTAAAGATGGATAAAGTTTTGAGATCACCGGCCTGTAATTCATTGAAAACTGCCATCAGTTGCATAATTTTACAAGTTTAACAAAATTTGTTATTTAATTAAATTAACAGCAATTTAATTAAATAAGTGAAGGATAATTAAAGTGGCTTTGATTGTATTGTAGATCCTCTTAATTTTTAACATAAATGATGTTTCATAATGAAATGTTGTCCCTTGGGAAGTTCCACCATTGCTTAAATGGGTTAGACCAGTGTGAAGATTTTATACATGTTTGTGTTTAGATAATTTTGCACAAATGAATTTTATAGAACTAAGTACTACGCATTTTTTCACTTTTCTGATTTTTAGTGGAGATATTCGTTTTTTGGCTTCTATGCCGAGGAAATCGGTACCAGGCTTCTATGCCGAGGAACTATCCAGATTGTGATCATTTAAGTGATAAGCAAAAAATCTATCAAAAGTTGAAAGGATTCATCGTTTTAGGAAATTTGTTATTTATTGCTATTTTAATTATATACATATATTTATAAATTATATAAATAAATATTTATAAATTATTATTTATAAATGTAATGATTTGCTACTATTATTATTATGTACTACAATTAGAGATAATTAATTTGTTTAGATTTTCTTCTAGTTAGAGTTACAGTAATGGTTAATGCAATAACAAAGGAAATATGTGTCCAGTTTATATTACTAATTCCGCGTTAGATTTAATATCAGTAATTATGGCCAGATGTTATTTTTTAAGTATTTGTTTTAGTTAATTAAACTAATTTAAATTGATACGTTCACTGTTTTATTTGGAATAGTTATATGATACACAACAAACCTTTTTCTATACGGCGGAAACGTACTTTTAAATAGTTAAACGCACTTTCCATACTCCTTATACTTAAAATAACAAATTTTAAACTAATGACTTTTAAACACTATATGAAAATGATAAATTTAGATCCAACACACTTACCTTTCTCTTATTTATTCTTAATAAATCAAATATTTCTAGTAACTACTTATATATTGGCATTTCGTATATATATTATATAAGCCAAGATTCAAAAGTTTTGAATGCTTATTTCATACGATCAGGTCTCGTATTTATCTTTAATAAATAGGTTATAACCTATAAGTAGGATATAAGTAAGTTCTTATGTGTTGGTATCTCAAATCTTATATATAAAATTAAGATTGTCAAAATGTTAGTTACCGTACTCCTCCGAAACGGCTTTACCGATTTTTACCAAATTTTATATGCGTATTCAGTAGGTCTGGGAATCGGCTACTATCTATTTTTCATACTGCTAAAGTGATTAGGGTGTCCCTATCCAGCAAAAATAACTTTATTGCTTTAACAAAAATTTTTTTAATTTTTTGACATAAATTTTTTCATATTTTTGAAAAAGAAAACTTGCTATGATATGAAAAGTTGTTGTCTATGAAAATACTGAATTCATAGAACTGCCACCTAATTTCTGCACTATCGTTGATTCCCAAAATGCTCTCATTGACCGCGTATTTCCAGATGTACACATACAATACATAAATCATGGGTGGCTGGCAGAAAGAGCCATTAGCAGCAAAAAAACATGGACGTTGATGAATTAAATTTCAAGATAAAACAGACATTGCCGGGCGACTTAATATCATACAAATCGATCGATACAGTTTGTGATAAAAACGAAGTTGTAAACTATCCAGCAAAGTTTTTAAACTCACTGGATTTGCCAGGCATGCCACCACACATTTTACGACTGAAAGTTGGATCACCGATTATTTTACTTCGGAATTTGAACCCACCACGGCTATGCAATAGTACGCGATTGGTAATTAAAAAATTGATGAAAAACATTATCGAAGCCACCATTTTGAATGGCAAGTTCCGAAACGAAAAAGTTTTATTTTAATTTAATTCAATTTAATTCAAATGTGTTCAATTTTCTATTAGATTGGCATTTGCAAACATCATCAATAAGTCACAAGGCCAAACGATGTCTGTTTGCGGTCTTATATATAAAATTTCCATGTCACAATGTTAGTTACCGAACTCCTCCGAAACGGCTTTACCGATTTTTACCAAATTTTATTTGCGTATTCAGTAGGTCTGAGAATCGGCTACTATCTATTTTTCATACCACTAAAGTGATTAGGGAGTCCCTACCCAGCAAAAATATCCTTATTGCTTTAACAAAAAATTTTTTATTTTTTTGATATAAATTTACATCCACTTCGTTTCTTCGTCTTCGTCTTCGCCTTGCATGGTAGATGGAAAATGTACTAAAAATTTTTTTAAAGATTTCACTAATGATACTGTAACAAATACCGACGGATATCCAATATATCGTCGAAGAAATCCCGATAATGGGGGACAATGGCGGGTGGTGCCGTTTTCGCCTCTGCTAAGCAAGACATACAATGCTCATATTAATGTTGAGTTTTGCAGTTCTGTGAAGAGCATCAAATATATAAGTATGTCCATAAAGGCAGTGATATGGCTGTGTTTAGAGTAGAAAATACATATGTAAATGCTCCTCCAAAACGGTGAAATTACGCTCTACCAAATTGGTCGGTACATCAGCTCCAATGAAGCTGCTTGGCGTGTCTTCGGTTTTCTAATTCATGAACGGAATCCAGCAGCTGTTCAGTTAGCCGTCCATCTTGAAAACGGTCAGCGTGTATTTTTCACGAACGAGATAGTGATTGATCGTGGTCCAAATCCACCTAAATCTACACTCACTGCATTTTTTGAATTGTGTAATAGTACGGATGATTTCGGTGCCTTTGCAAGAACAATGCTCTATTCACAAGTACCACGCTATTTCACATGGGCTCAAACAAAAAAATGGATGCCCCTCAAGCAAGTTTCACCAGTTGATGCATGTCTCAATTTATTTAAATCGAACGCTTATTTACAGTTAATCCAAGACACACTGAGTGCTTTTATCTTCGACTGTTGTTGGTTAATGTTACTGGCCCATTATCATTATTATTATTTACAGTCAATCCAAGACAATTTAAATTTGAAGATACAACAGTTGTTGCCAGGGAACTTGGTATCATACAAATCTATTGATTTTAAATTAATAATTTAATAAATAAACTATAATAACTTAAAAATAATATTGTTTGGCGTTTGTTATTTTTATTTTCCTTTTCGTTCATAGCGCTCCATGCCTATTTCATGCATATACCACATACTTACACACTTATAATAAGTAAGTTACTTTTTGTCTACACTAGAATTTATCTAGAAACTAGAAATAATTTATAAGGCAAAACAACGTTTGTCGGGTTATCTAGTTTTAATATATATTTATAAGCCAGATTTAAAAGTATAAATACTTATTTTGTTATTTCCAGTTTGGTATTTTATATATATAGAGTCAAGAATCAAAAATTTTACATACCTATTTTGAGATTATAAATGTAACGATATATATTTATATATATGTAACATATATTTTCCTTTATTCCGAACAGTGTGAACAGTTTGCAAATATAATAATTGCATTTATCTGTTAATGAAGGAGTTCCATCTTTATGTATATTTATAAATATATATAAATATATATATATATATAAATAATAATTTGTTAATAAAACTTTCACAGCAAAGTAACAAAACTTTAGAATAATGTGCGTACATAAAAGTCAAGTACGGCTTTGGGGCAGTTGGTTGAGGGGCGCTAAGGGGCGCTGACCTGAGCTTCAAATTTGGCAGGAGACGAGTTCGATTCCTGGTACTTGCAGTCTCAAAAATAATTATTTACGAATAAATAAATACACAAAACTATTTCCAATATCACTAATGATGGGTATTTGACAATACTCGTAACAGCTGTATGGTCAGCCAAAAAAATTGATTTTTTGTTGTTGTAGTTTACCACTGTTCGAAAAACCTCTGTATAATAAGCTTTATTACAATTTTGATGTCCTATGACAAATATTC